GATGATGGTGGCCATGTTGATGGGAGGCGGTTGTGGCAGGTTTGCCGTGTTTGTTCCACCGGCCCGACCGACCTGATCTGTCGCGCCTGTCGTGTTTTCTTGCTGATCGGTCTGGTTGATCACTGGGAGTCCAGTAACTGGGTCGACGACCGGACCCTGGGCGTTTCTTGTTGGATCGGCAGCTCTCCCTGCAAGATCGGTGGATCCTCCTGTGAGGTCAGTGACTCCCGTGGTTAGGTCGGTGGTATTGGTGTTGATCGGTGTTTCAACCATCTTCGAGCTCCGTTCTAAGTCAAAGATTGTTCTCTTTTTCCCCACAGACGGCGCTAACTGTAAAAACTCACGTCTGATCTACGAAAGAACTAGGGTTTATGGGTTCAAAGAGAAGTCTTTTATTAGAAGAAGCCGGAGCTTAAATGAATACACGGAGTTTTAAGTCGTCGGAATAAGAACACCGATCTAAACTTTTAAGGAAAGTAAATCGAAATGTAGAACAATCAGATTGCTTAGTTTGCCCTAGGTCTCGAGAGATGATTTTTGGATGATATGAGAAGTCGAGGGCTTCCCATATTTATAGCTGATCAGGTCGGTCTTCGATGTGCGTTTACAAAAAGAAAAGTCTTCTTGCCGACAAGAAAGAACTTCCTTTTTCCCGGATTCGCTCGATAAATGGAAGGTTTTCATTTGTTTAGCCGACCTGAAACTTGTAGAATGGACCGACCAGAATTCATATCGGGCGTGTAGAGATGGTACGAATCTCATCTTTAACAGTATGCTCGTCACAGATTGGCCGACAAGAATGAACTTTCTTTTTTCCAAGTTCGCTCGATAAATGGAAGGTTTCCATTTGTTTAACAGACCTGAAACTTGTAGAATAGGCCGACCATAATTCATATCGAACTTGTAAAAATGGTATGAATCTCATCTCTAACAGTGACCAAAGAAATGAAAAGGAACAGTAAGTTCATGTTTATCCCTTTATTAAAATTACACTATTTACAAATAATTGATTTTACATATAATTTCATGTCGTTCCTTTTTTTAAAGAAACTATATTGTTAAATATTACTTATTAAATTTGGAAAAGAACAATAGTTTCTCCCTTTTTTTTAATTCATTTTCATTATTTTCCTATTTATTGCTATTATTGTTATAGTGTTCACTAGTTAGAATTAGAACCAAAAAGTTTTCATGTGAAGAACACATGTAAATCCTCTTCATTTTATTTTCATGAAAGCCTTATCAATGCGAAATTAAGAGAAATTTAAAACGTGTTTAATTTGTGGCCGGTTACAGATATAATTTACAAAAAAAACAAAAAAAAACAAAACTTAAAGGAAATACATGAGATTTGGAGATCCAAAATCTTGAGAAGATACCAAAAATAAGGTATAAATGGCTCGAGAACAAATGGACCACACAAGAAAGTGAACTAATCTTTATTCTTAAGTTCTGTTTACATATTCGTTTCTTTACCTACCACTAGATAAAGCTTTTACATATTTCACTTTGGACTGTGTTTATCCATGCATGACAGCATGAGTACTTGCTTGATTATATATAAACTATACTCACTATCATATTATGCAAACTGCACAATTTAATGGTCAACGACTCAACTGTATCAGTCAGTTTCGGGTTCCTTTAATTTTGAATTTGATTTGGTTGACCACAATATTTCGTATAATTGAAAATGAAGTACTGAATATCAATATCATTTGTTATTTTTTATTTTGTTTCGGTTCTCAAGATTAAATCTAAGCTAATTTTTCTGGGTTTGCTTGTTAACAGCGGTAATTTTAAGTTTTTGTTGTATAAATATAGCTTTAGAGTTTTTGCTATAGTTGTAGATTTTATTTCTTTAAAATTTTGCTTAAAATCTGGAAAGCATAAATTATATGTTTTAGAAAAAAAATATTTCGTACAGTAAAATAAAAATAAAAAAGGAAATATTTTAGCTGAGAACAAAGAAATAAAAGATAAAATTTATAAAACATAATTAGTATGATTTAGAGCTTTAAACATAAATATTACCAATTAAGCTCTTATAATTCAACTTTTCAAAAAAACCACCTAATAAATAATTTGTTTTTTTTAAATAAAGTCTTTATAAAATGGTTTATGAACATTTATAAACTTTTTCCATTTCATAAAGTGGTTAATATCATTTTATGATTCTGTGGTCCTCTAATTGATTTTCAACTAAGGATGTTATCAAGATAGCGTTCACATGTTCCTTTTAAAATTTCGTTTGTTTTTCTTGTTTCTTTATTTTTCTTTCACGAAAAATTGCGTTTTTATGCAAAGGAAGTGGGCAAAAGATTCACGAAATTTGGGCTTTGATTCTCGAAATCTCAGCTTTATTTAAATAAGCATATACATATCTTCCAGTTTATTCCAATATAACGTCATACATAACTAAATTCCCGTTAAAACCAAATTTTGTGAATATAGTATTTTCTTTTATCAAGGGACTAGAGTTTATTAAGTTCAGCAAAATCTGCTTGCACCTTTAGTGATGCTTCCAATACAATGGATTTTTCACACCTTCATTTCAAAGAAACCTGTTAGATTCCATCTTACTCGCTAATGAAATGAGTTCTAACATATATAAAACATAGAAAGGTATTACTTATATAGCCCATAAACCTTAACTTGATGTGAAAATCTAGGATAGCCCGTGTTAATCATGTTACCGATCTTAGACAGAGATTTGGTTTGAGATATAGCGATATTTTGCTAATAGATTAACTAAATCACACACGTTACTTAAAATCTGACTAAACTAACGAATTTAGTACTCAAATAAATTTGTAATAGATTTACTAACCAAAATTTTCGCAACTGCTTAAAAAGCGAAACTTCGCAACATTTTTGTCTATGGGACTGCTATGAAATAACCTTAACGTGCTATTAAATTAAGAATGTTTTTTTATTTTTGCTAAAAAAGTGTTAGAGAATTTAAAATCATTTTAAGTAATCTCCTATTTAGTAGGTGTAATACTTTACTAATAAAATATATAAGGTTTTACTATTGCTAAATGCTGGCTATAGCTATTGTCACCTAAATTTGACAAGAATCTCAAATTAAGAAAATTGAAAAAAGTAGTTTGATATAAGGTAAATTCCCGTTAGGTGCCGGAGAAAGGTGAATCCCAACCTTACTACTTACTAACAAGTAACATCTTATTATATATAAGTTGCGCCTGTTTTGTAATAATAATAAAAAAACTATCCATACCTAATTGTATATAGTTTTCCCATAAGTACCTTCCATGAAATTGGAGCATTATACAGTCACAATATGTAATGGTTATGTACCAGCATATTTAAATTTGAAAATCTAGTCATTTATGACAAAACATGGTGGGCCATTTCTTTTCAAGTCTACATTTGCCCATCATATACCAAAACCGTACTTAATTTAACAAATTCAAAATTTATGGTGAAATTCTTTTTATCAATATCTCAAATTTTAGCGAAAGAAATCTGTTCATAATGCTAATTCGATGAGTCAACTAATTGTTAACTTGTAGTTCACAGTGTCCGTTTAACTTCACTATATGAATATTATAATAATTAACAGGTAATTGTCATCTACACAAAAAATTACTCTTCGTAAAATTAAGAACAATGTAGATATACTTGTTTATTATGATAGTTTACAAATGTAGAATACTCAAACAACATACTATATAATAAAAAAAATTGTCACCTTCGGTAATTTGTATATACAATATTTAATAGTTCTTTGTTATATTTCTTTTTAAGTCTCATTATTTATTAAGTTTAAAGTTCTGAATAAAGTTTTTTTCTAGAAAAAGAACAATGAAAATATCATTTTTAATGGCTAATTATTTGTCATTGTTATGATAATGTCTATTGATGGCTAAATTGTTACGTTACAAAAATAAAAATATAATTAATAAGTGGTGCACATGGTATATGGCAGTTAGGGCCATAACCTCAGCTTCTGTAAAGTTTTGTCCCCACCAAAGAATACGGAAAGATATTTGTAACTTGACAAAATGTGTAAAATAATAAATTCAACAAATAGTAGTATTAATTAATAGGTTAAATAATTGTATTGTAACAAACCCGTATGGAGATACCCCATATCCTAATCTCAATTATTTAATATTTATTGTGAGGGCCGACATTTTAATACTCATCCCTACGTTTCCCCAAATGGAAAGTTATTCTTAGATTATTCATCAACTCAATGATTAGTATTAGTGCCACGCCTTAAACCCTATTTACAAATTATACATATTTAGTACTCCACGACGTGAGAGCCACAAAAATAGATCTTATAATAGAATATTGTATTCCACGATGTGATATAGTAGTAATAGTTAGACCTAACTTTAGTATGAATTGTACTAATTTTCTCCAAAGTTAAAAAGGTATATGCTTGTTTGTACTTGATAAATGAGAATAATTAAACTAAGCATATATACCAAAAATGGGTTATCGGAATCAATCCTTGAGAAGGACATATTAAAGAGGAAATTGGTGCTGACAAATTACCAGTATTAAACAAAATGATGGCTAATCATTTGGAATAGTATAATAAAGTAATAAACTACGTATTATATTTTATCTATAAAATAAAGGAAATCTAAGAAAAGAAAAAAGTACACCTAGCTACATCTTAGTTTGGTCGCAAATTAAATTAAGAAATTAAAGTACATTTGGAAATATAAGAAACCAAATGAATACTAGTTTATTAATACGAACATTTTAACATTTTTTATATAAAAAATGATAATATTTCAACTAGTTTTTTATGTTTGGGCAAGCCATCTGACTTTTTTTATCTTCATGTTTCTTCATTCGAAACAAGATCACCACATAAAAAAAAAAGTTGATTATTTTATTGGAACTTAATCACATTTCAGGTTTATTTTTCTGAAGTAAAAATTAATTTTAAGCAAATCATTAATTCCCAAATGACATTTTGGGAATAAATTATATCAATTCGCATGTTATACGTATTATTATTCCTCATCGAGCGAGGCACACCGTCGTGGTAAGGAACTTGTAATTAAAAACTGAAAATTAATCTAATAACACAAAAACAAACAAACACAGCTAAAGATTATGATTAATAATACTATTAATAGAAGTTATTAACGATGATAATACGAGTGGCTTACTCTAAAGCTAAAGCTTAAGCTTCCTTATTGAATCTGACGCTGATCTTTAACTTCACGACGACGACGATCCGTTTACGTTACCGCCGTGAGCTCCGCCGCCGCCGCTATCACTATCAAATCCGCCGCCGCCGCTACTAACACTGTGGTGAAGCTCGTTGCCTCCGTTGTTATTGTTGTTGTTGTTGTTGTTAGCTTCGACGGCGGGAATCGGAGTGTGGTGTCCTCCACCGTTATCGATCTTTTGGATCTCGGCGACTCCGGCGATGGAGAATGGGAGATCCCGGCGATTAAAGGTGTTTTTGTTGTTGTGCATCCAGACTTTGAGAACGCTTTTGTCAACTCCGATCTGACGGCAGAAATCTCGAACATCGTCTTCGTCGCGTTTCTGCATCTTCCAGCCGACTCGATCGGCGAATTCGTGCATCTTCTCTTTCTGAAATTGGCTGAATTTCGTTCGGAATCTCTTTCGAGATCCGATTTGGTGGTGGTGATTGTTGCCGGAGAAATTGAGATCGGAGAAAGCTAGGTTGTTGTTATTAGTCCCGGACAGAGAGAGAAGCATGTAAGAGGAAGAAATCGGCGGAGGGGAAGCTGAATTAGGGCTACGAGGAGGAGGAGGAGCTGCTTGTGGTGGTGGTGGTGGTGGTGGATGATGACGGTGGTGAGGTTGATACTCAATTGCGGCGGTGACGGCGGAAGGAAGCGGAGGGATTGAGGAATCGCTGTCTGGTTCACGGCGGTGGAAATTACGGTGGCAACCACAAGCTGCGCATTTGAGAGAAGTTGGATCGGTGGAGATTGACGACGGAGACGGCATGAATTCGCCGCAACCGTCTAGCGCGTGGCCGCCTAAAGCCGCCGCGTGGTTTTTGAGGCATTCTTTGTAAGTGAAGATGAGAGGATGGTTGTGGTGGCGTTTGATGATGCCGTTGCTGAAGGAAATGGGCTTCGCTGGTTGGATCCGGGTCGGAGTTTCGGATTCGGGTTCGGGTGATTTAGGAATCGGTGTTGTTGTTGTGGTAGGAGTCATATCCATTGCTCAAAACATCAAATAATATCTCAAGAAAATGAGGAAGAAACAAAAAAAAACTTAGGGTTTGGGTTTTAAGCTTTGAAAATATGGTATGAGTTTCAGAGAGACTTGAATAGAAAATGGAGAAGAAAGAAAAAAGATAAGTAAAAAGGTTCTTGAGCTTTTTAGAGATTATTTATTTATTATTATTATTTTCTTTACTCAAATTTATTCGTTTTCTTTTTTTTGAGTTCTAGAGGAAGAAGAGGAAAAGGAGAAAATGATATATGAGGAGGGTGTGGCGACTGTTGCTGAAGCAAATAAAGAAATTAAAGAGGACAATATTATTGGAAATTAAATGACTTTTGGTTTTATTTTACGACGTATTTAAATTAATGATTATAATGAGGAAAAAAAATGAAAAAATAAAGGTAGGATTCTGAGGATATTTTAAATCTCGAGGGAGGGTTGGTGTTTTAACCATGGTTAGTTTAAAAGAGAGGTGGTGGGGTCCACAAAGAGAGTGCGTGTTAGATTTTGCGGTGAAAAGCGTAATAAATGTAAGCTACTGAGTTGTGTCTTAAACCTAAAGACAGTTTCCTGGCAGAAGTCAAAATTAAAAAAAAAAAAAAGAGAAGAGCTTTATTTGACAAAAGAAGTCTTATGGTAATGGTCAATTTTCTTTCTCACGCATCGCAAGATTTTTTCATTAGAAAAACATTTGCAATATTTTTATTATTACAAAAATATCAAAATAGCCAAAAAAATATAAGAAATAACATTACAAGAAAATGGTACAAAATACATTAGTTTTCACTTTTCACTGTTTTTATGATTGGTAATTATGACAGTGGTAAACCCCATAACACTGCAGTACATACTAATCAACCTTTTGTTTTTACTTTGATCTTTCCACTTATATTTATACATATTTATATACTGATCGTTCCATTTTAGTTTTTAAGATGTGTGGCACTTTTAAAATAGATAATTTGTTGGTGATAACTTTTGTTTATTTTATATAGGACCAATCAAACCTTGATCGCATCAATTTGAGGCGGTTGTGTCAAGCTATCGATGGAAGTTGGATTCAGAATTTTTTTTTTTTCATATTTGTATCATGGGAAAAAGATAAAATCGCGTGTGCCCATTTCTACACTACGTTACAAACACATATGCAAACAGCATAATATGGTTATGACATGTTACTGACTTCCAATGATACAACCTAATAGAAGAATTTGGTGTAAATGAGAAATGATTCTCGTATGCAATTTAAATAAGAACAAAAAGGGACATCTCAAGACTCGATGGGAGATGGTTTAAGGTTCGAAAGATACATGAACTGTCCGAATCGTGTTGGATTCATACTGAGTAGTCGAAGAGATAAGCCAAAATGCGGAGTTTTCAGTCATTGACCTAAGTGAAGGTGGTCGTCGTAAGTCTAAATGATTTCAGATCAACTTGATTTAAGGTTTTGGGTTTTATACTTTCGTTATGTTAAATGGGTTTTAGATAAATTGGCTTACACGTTTACAAAAGAGAGAAAGACATAGTTTGGGTTGGGTCATAAGTTTCTAAACCCACTCAAAAGAAAACGTTACTACATAAAGGTCGTTACGAAAAAATATGGAAAATTATTCGACTCTTTTACATCTTCTTCTTTGTCAATTTTCTTATCAAATTATCTGTTCTCGTGTTGTAAGACATAGTTTGGCTTTCAAGTAGTGGAGTGCATATATGTAACCTAATATTATTAACATTTGATTTTTTTTCGGAATTTAGCATGTAATTTTTTGCACAAAGATTACATCATTGATGATTGATAATAAATTGAAATATAGCATACATTATAAAAACTAAACCATCGAAGAAGATAAATCATGTGTCAAAGTCTTAAAAGAGAGATTACATGATCGGATTGTTAACTTTTGGGCTTTATAGTTTATATATATAAATACTTAACCAAAGCCAGACCAGTACAAATGATTTTTCTTTTGTTTAACTAAAAGTCTAAAACCAACTAAACCGGTTCAATGCTTATAATTATTTTTCTGATAATATTTCAGAAACAAGATATAAGGCATTTTTGCAATATTTGCAAGACTTAAAAAACCAGTTATGCAGTCTATACAATCAAGTCCAGCCCAATTATTCAATAGAGTCAATGTCATTTTATATATATAACAAACAAAATTTATAAAAAGAACCTTAAACTTTTTAAAAAAGCTTTAAATTTACCTAAAATTTGCAAAAAAATCGATGAACCTTGTGCAAATGCTCATTGAGCACATGCCTAGAACCGGACTCGCATACAATATATAGCTAATGCCCATCAAAATTGTATGTAATTGCGTTATTTTATTTTGGTTATTTTCTTTTGGTAGAACCGTAGAAGTATCAATTATCCTACATACGATTCCATAGATAAATTACAACCTTGGTATAATTATATATGTCCCTTTTTGTTTGATTGAGCTTGTGGTGTAGCCAGTGCAACAGAACTGCTTTTGTCTATTGGTGCACCGATCTACACAAAAAACCTCGCCAATACCAAGTCTTGGCTACATTAACCTTTCATGTGTTGGTTTCTTTTTCTTTCTTTAGCTCTTTTTAATCATTTGGAATCTACCTTCGTTATTCTACTAACAAAGCTTATCTTATTGTCTAAACATAACAAAATAATATAATTAGTCTTCCATTTCCATGTGTACTGAAAGTTCTTGGCATATTGGAATGGGCTTCAGAATGCGTCTTTGAAAACATTATTGACTACCGCCAATGTTGACTGTGCTAAAACTTATAGGTATATAATCAACTTAAGTTTATAAATATATTTTGTAATCACTTTACAAGATTAGGACATATATGATTTAGTCAAATGAACTTAACATTTTGGATTTCTGTCGGCAGTTTTGCTGAATTTAATAATGAGTTTTATTGAGATTATACTTCTCGTTTGTTTCCTATCAGGCTGATTTATGCTATATAATAGGATCAATACACATAAATTAATTAGTATCCCTCGTAGACGATGCTACAAGGTTAGTTCAATAACCTACTTTCTTTAATTACTTAATCCATAAACACTTATATTTCAAATAGACGCCATATGCATAGCATCAACCAAACATACAGAAGCCAATAGTCTCCAAGAGACTTATCATACAATAATAAATCTACAACAACTCTAATCTTACAATAGCACGATGTTACCATATTTTTCATTGATCTCCACAATACCAATTATTCTGAAGTCTTTATTTAACTCGAAATTTAGAAACACATGTGACATATGGAACATACTCACTCAAGACGATGGAGCATCTTCGCGTAGGATATGGTTGAAATCATCTCTAACCTTTCCCTGAGGATTCCTCTTCCATTCCATGATTTCTTTGAACGATTCTATGAATTTTTGCTTGTGCAGTCGTTTCCATTCCTAACAAAACCAAAAATCCAAAACACACCTTTTTGATCAAACAGGAGAATCAAGCACATGACCAATATATATTTTCTCTTTTTTGATGAGTTAACAAAATATTTATTAAAAAAAAAAGAAACTCAATGTAACCTCGAAATCCCATTCTCCATACATATCAGGATCATCCTTGTTGACCCATAAATATGTTTTCACTGTCATTTTCTCGGAATTGTCCTGTATATGAAAATACAAAATATTAAGTTTCTGATCTCATTAATAGTCAAAATACAAAATTTTAGAATTCAGTTTGAGAGATCAAATCTGTTAAAAAACTTACCTTCCTTACAACCTCAACTGTCACTCTCTCATATTCATTACCTTCAACTGCATCTACATTCGCAAGCTCTTCATCGGTTAATCCCATTAGCAGCTACACCAATTCACCAAAATTCCTCAATAAATAAACCCTAAAATCCTCAATTACCATGAAAACGCAAAAAAAAAAAAAAAATCACAAGAATAAAGTAAGCTGAATTTAATAAAAACCTTTCCATGTACTTCTCCTGCCTCAAATGGTATAACACATGGATACAAACGTCCTTTGAGCCTAAACCTCTTGCTGATGAAAAAAAAAACCCAAAATCCCCATTAAATCTTAGATCTGTAAAAAAAGAAATATATTATAATCAATCGAGAGAGGAAAAGAGAGACGTACAAGCCAGGGAGTGTTACAGAGATGATCTCAGGGGTACGTTCAAGCATTATGTTGACGATTTCAGGCTCCTGAAAGCTACCATAGACGAAAACATTGTGAAGCTGAGCATCGGAGCTACTCATTTTTCTTTTTTTTCTTTCACTTCTTTGTTTTTTTTTTTTTATTCTGCTTCTATGTTCTTTCTCTATCAGAATTCAACTTTATAAACTGAGGAATCCTGAAGGAACACGAAACCGGTAATTCACGTGGAAATGATTTTTATATAGAGGACAGGAAGAAATAGAAAAAGATAAGATAGACTAGATAATTAGGTGTTCAGAGAAAAAAGATGGAAAAAATTCACACGTAATTTCTGAAAGGAGCGTAGGCTGTAACTGGTAACAGCTGAATTGCTGAATTTAGCTGAATTTCAGCTGAATTTGTTTTTAATACACCAGTTGCTAACGAGTGGAATTGGGAGGAATTTATGCAATTTAACACCTTTTGTTTTCAGTCTTTTTTTTCTTGATCAATTATAATATTTTAGTAATTAATTGATTAGTATTCATTAATATAACTTTTTACAGATGCTAATATTTCAAATTAAAACTTAGATACTAATTAAAAAGAAAGTATAAAAAATTATACTGAGAAAACAAATTGAATAATACATATATCAAATAATATATGTATAAGTTTAATACATAATCTTATTATTTCAATGGGATAAAATTCAAATTCATGATTGATTACTATTGTCTTCTGTGAATATGAAACATATAAAAGATGATTTTAGTTATATTACTAATTATTTTAAAAAAAATATTTATTAATCTGTTTTGTTAAATAACTATATACTTCTTAAGTTTTTATATAATTTTAGTTAATTGATTATTTATATTTAATTGATTTTGTTTTTATTATTTAGTTATTTTTTAGAAATTTTGTCAAATTATAATTAAAAATTATTTCTCGGATATTTTAATTATTTGGTCAAATTTTATCAAAATAAATAAATAAAAAGTTTTCAATATTTTGGTTATTTCGATCTAAACATAATTAATATATTTGATGTATAGTTATAATGTTGTTTTATTTATGGTAAATCTAAGTATAATTAATATTTTAGGTATATAATTGTGTTATAAATATTTTGGATATATATTCAAATTTTGGTTTGATTCTTGTTATTTTCGTTTTTGATTTTGTTTTTTTTGACATTTTTATGTTGTTTAATACATTAATTATACATTAAAACAAATTTTCATATATTTATTTATTTAATTCATAATTTTTAATCACTTTTTAAAAAAATTCAGCTATTCTACTATTTTTTCGGTTATCATTTACATTATTAGTTATTCTGTTAAATTCAGCTAAAAATCATATAAAAAATCGCAAATTCTACATTCCGCCAGAAATTTCGCAGTTACCATTTACACATGTCTTTGTGGTTTTGAGTAGGGCTCGCTTGTTGTGTCCAAAGTCCATACAACAACCAAAATGTGACAAAACCGTCCAATCAACATGTGCTATAGAATTTAAGTGGGAAAACGTATGGTGTTATATATGCGTTTTAATTTACAAAATGATGAATTTGCGCCCTATCGTTTTTACCATAAGAAATGTGAAAAAGTTGTATGGCAATAAACTGATGTATTACTTAGTTATATAAAAGGGAAAAAAATCTATCAAGATGGAGTTCGAACCCGGATAACCAAAGCCGGCCCTGACCCAAACTTAAAGGAGACATTTGTCTTGACTCCCATTTTTCAATGACCCTTTGTTTTTATTTATATGAGATTTTTATTCAATTTTCATGATATATATAATGACCCTCATTTTGTAACTGGTTTCGATCCCCAAAATCTTAAAACCGGCCCTGCAGATGATGGAAAGGTACCAAATTAAGTATTCTTGGATAAGTTAGTTGTAAATGTGAAGAAATTATAAGGTTTAATGTCTGTAATTTCTTTACAAGACGCGAAAAAGTAAGTACTTAGTGGATGTACACTAAGAATTATCTCTTTTCTCAAAAAGCACTCATTTATCTTGAAACTATGTAACACTTCAGCATAAAAAGTATATCCCACTTATTAAGTAAAGGTAAATGTCACATCAAAAGTTGTTTTTGTATTTGGTAATGCGGAATTCTACAACCAAGAAAAGATGAAAAAAATACAACAATCACCGAAAAATGAAAAATTTAATAGCAACAACATAGAAGCAAAATTTTAAATTTCCAACAGTGGTTCCATCATATGAGCGAGAGTTCTCACATGGAATTGTCTACTAGGTGGGCTTTTGAAAATGGGCCTAACGTAGACCCATTGAAAAGTAAATACCTAGAAAAACGTTTTTTTGTGAGAAAGAAGTAATAAAGGAAATTGGGTCTTACAAAAGCTAAATTCATAATCTAATCATAACAAAATAGATATTATGATATTCTCTATATATTATACAATATATACAAAATATCCCTTCTCTTTCCCGTCATTTTTCCTTTCACTCTTTTCATCACTCCACCTTTTCTCTTCTCTTACCTTCCTCTTCCCTTCTATTCCCCCATCTTTCCCTCCCCTCATCTCCTATTCTCTCTCGTTTTCTTCTTTTCTTTCTTCGTTCATTTTCTCCATTCTTTTCTTCTTCTAATTTTTTGTAAATACTATATCAAACGATACTATTCTATAAAATTGAGATATAATATAGTAGCTATTATAATATTGTATAGAAATATTTTCGATAATTGATAGTGAGTCATGGTTAGTTTGTAAATTATCCATACACTATGACTATATTCTTTATTTCAACTCTCGATATAGTTATATATGTAAAAAGCCCTTTATTTATTTAGACAAAATGAAAAAAAAATCTCTTTTTTCCTGAAATCGTGATATAGTCAATACAAAGCATTATAGTTTTTATTCTCCATGCAGTCGGACAGTGGGACTCGATGGGTCATCAATAAAACGAAAATACCTTTAACACTCTGAAGTTATTTTTTTAGTTACAAAATACCTTTTCTTTTGTCTGTTTATATAGTTGTCATTAACTAAATTACTCGAAATTTTATGAGGTATGACCGTTGGATCATGCAATGTGTTACAACTATTGATAAAATTTGAACATGGAGCACCTAGTTGAAAGTGAAAGATTGAAGAGAGAGATTAAAACCTTCTACTAGATGATTATAACAAAGATAGTAAAACATACCTAAGCACTTATAACCTATTTTACCAATTTATGCGCAAGTGTTTAATATCGTTTGTATATTTATGCAATTCTGATACCCAAAATTAGGAGTTTAAGAAAAGTATTGTCCAGTCTCATCCCTAATTAGAATAAACTCTAAAATCCTTTAACTCGTGTTTAAAAATGGGATGGGATGAGAAAAACTAAAATTCTCGACTATCTCAAATCTGAATTTTCTTTTCCGAGTTTCTTCTCCATTTTTGTCAAAACTTCATCCCCGAAAAAAACAATTCTTTCCAGAATTGTTATGTTTAAAATGACTCTGATGAATAAGGTAGATTTCTAAGCAATTCTTCGTCAATGCTAATCCGCGCTCGGCATTAATCATATACTTAAAGTCTTAAAGGTGCCACCATCTAGTAATTAATACCAATTGGCAGCCAGAAACAAGTTGTACAATCTCATTAGTTGATCATATAATATAGATAATTCTATGATATACTAATCAGATTCAGCAGCCAGAACAAGCTGTATAATCTCATCGTTTTAAGATTTGTTCTTGTTTTATAAACACTATCGTTTTATATTTACAAAGTAAAATTTTAAATAAAATTATAATTTTAATCTTACAATTTTAGTGTATTAATTAGAGAAAGAAATGTATAAAAAAATAAAGTTTTTAATTGATTTTAATATGCGTAGACAATTCTCAAATGAATTGAGTAAAACAGCAAGCTAATTTTCTAAAAACAATTTAATAAAATAGCCTGGTTACGCAGAATACTAGAATAGATCTGTTTGGGTCAAAACGAGAAAAGATCTGAAAACTCTGTTTGACTTATGGATTTCAGTATTATTGATTTATGGATTTTTGTTTATTTACTGTCGATATTCTATGACAGCTTGAATAACACAGTTTAAATTATTTATGTTAATTACAGACAATTTAGAACAAATAAAAAAAGACGAAGGCATATTAACGTTGTCGTGAGAGGATCAGTTCCACGTGTCTCACAAGTTTTGTGTTCCTTACCACATATTACATCCTCACGGTATAAAGTCCAACTCTGATAGAGAGAAATAACATTGAAAGCAAAAAAGATTAAAAAAAAAAAAAAAAACAGAGAAGTAAAAAAAAAAAAATGAGTAGCTCTGCTTCTCAGCTTCACAATGTCTTCGTCTATGGTAGCTTTCAGGAGCCTGACGTAATCAAGGTCATGCTTGATCGTACTCCTGAGATGGTCTCTGTAACACTCCCTGGTTTGTACGTCTCTCTCTCTCTCTCTCTCTCTCTCTCTCTCTCTCTCTCTCTCTCTCTCTCTCTCACTCTCTCTCTTAATTAGTCTCTCGATTGATTCATCTCTCTGCATGGATCTAAGATTTGATTGTGATTTTGGGTTGTTTCAGTCAGAGATTTAGGCTAAAAGGACGTTTGTACCCATGTATTGTGCCCTCTGAGAAAGGAGAAGTCCATGGAAAGGTTTGATTTTTTTTTCTAATAATTGTTTGTTTGTAATGTAAAATTCATCTGCTTTTAATATCAAAAAAAAGCTGCTTTGTTCTGTTTTGACCGTACATTTAGGATTTTTAGGGTTTCGATTTTGAGAAATCTTGATGAATTTTTTGGTGCAGCTACTAATGGGAATAACGGATGAAGAACTTGAGAATTTAGATGCTGTTGAGGGTAATGAGTATGAGAGAGTGACAGTTGGGGTTGTTCGAGAGGTGAGGTTTTTTTTTTTTTTTTAAGATTTGATGATTTCATCCCCAAAAACAACATTTTGATGAGATTGATTATTTTGTTTTGCTGCATGTACAGGACAACGAGGAGAAGATGGCTGTGAAAACATATATATGGATCAATAGGGATGATCCTGATATCGATGGAGAATGGAGTTTCGAGGTTTGATCAATAATTAGTTTTGTTTAACTCGTCATGTGTTCGATTCACATGTTTGATCGTGGTATGTTTTGGGTTTTTGTTTTGTTAGGAATGGAAACGATTACACATGGAGAAGTTCATAGAGACGTTCAAAGAAATCATGGAATGGAAGAGGAATCCTCAGGGAAAAGTTAGAGATGATTTCGGCCATATCCTACGTGAAGATGCTCCATCGTCTTAGAACGAATATCGTATCGAGTATGTTCTATATATATCATGTCACCTTTGTTTCTTAATCCCGAACTAAAATAAAGCCTAGATCGATAGTACAGGTATTGTGGAGAACCAACTCACGTGTGTTTCTTTTGTAAGTTTTGAGTTATTATGAGAGTTAAATTATTGTTTCACAAGTCTTTTAGATGGCATCTTATAGTGTGTATGGTTTGGTACTTTGGTTTCACAAGTCTTTTAGATGGCATCTTAATGCATGTGGCTTCTACTTGAATTTAAGTGTATGGATAAAGTAATTTAAAGGAGTAGGACCATTGAACTAATGTCTGATAAAAAGTAAAAAGAAAAAGTAAGTGGGAGTTTGTAGTACTGTCCACGAGTGATAAGTTTTTAGAAGTGATGTGTTTTGATTCTTTGTGAAATTGTAGTCTATATTTAGGTAAGAGATCTTCTGGGTATAAAAGTTATCGGTTCCTTGGCACGTTGTAGCAGTAGTATTCACACAACAGTTGTAACTTTTAGACATTAGTCTGGATTTATGTTTGAGATTTTCTGGTTTTAAAATTGTGGTATCGGTTCTTAAAGTATGTAAGAACTAGGAAGTGAAGGCGTGAAGCAGTAGAAAAATTCATTGTTAGAGGAAAATGTAAAATTGGATTTTCTTGGTTACAGACAGTTAATAGTTATTGGTTCTTGAATCATGCTTTTGATGTGTTGTGGTTAAGTGATGGTCAGAGATGAGTCACAAATTACATAGAACACAGAGATAGGTAAAATGAGATTGTTGAGAAAGAAGAAAAGAAAGATTTTGCCCAAAGACCTTTTGCCCAAAGATTCCTATAATAAATAAGATATAGGAATGATAATTTTCATGCAACGTGTTCCTCTAAGACCTTTTGCCCAAAGCCAATAAGATTTTTTTAGACTGTACTTTTGTACTTTTGTTTTATATAATAACTATTATACTATATCTTAATTTTATAAAATAGTATCGTTTGATATAGTATTTGCAAAAAAATAGAAGAATGGAAAAGATGAACGAAAAAGGGAAAGAAGAAGACGGGAGAGAATAGGAGATGAGAGGAGGGGAAGAGGGGGGAATAGAAGGGAAGAGGAGGGTAGGAAGAGAGAAAAGGTGGAGTGATGAGAAGAGTAAGGGAAAGATGACGAGAAAGAGAAGGGATATTTTTGTATATATTGTATAATATACAGAGAATATTATAACACCTATTTTGTTATAGTTAGATGATGAATTTAGCTTATTAATATGGTTATATGACCCAATTTCCCATAAATAAATAAGGTTTTGAATAATGGTTTTGCATGTTATAAGTAGAAAATGGAGTGTATTTTTCTTTAAATTAATAAAGGGAAAACCGATAAAAAACCTTGAAGTGTCACGCAATGACACTTTAAACCTCTAAGTATTTTATTTATACTTTAAACCTTCAATCAAATGGAATAAGTGGAATGATTTTTTTTTATTTTGTGAATAAATGGAATAAGTGGAATGATTTTTTTTTCAATTCCTTATAATTGGTAAAATATTTATAGAATTTCATGAAATTCTTTATTCCACATGATTTTATTTCTAATTACAATCCAGTTACAGTCTTAGGGGGATGTAGAAACTAAAATTTTAGAGAATTTGATAAGATTTGAGTTTTAATAAAATTTTAGATGATATTATGTGTATTGGAGAAGTTGATATGATTTGATATTAAAATTATATGAAATCTCACCTAAAACAATGAGATTTAGTTTCCTATATTTTTAACTAACAAACTCTACCAAATCATTTAAAAGTATTCAATTTTTTTAAAAAATTACTATTTAAAATATGTTCAATAATAGTGGATTTTATTTAATTTTTATAAATTATTGATTAAATAACATAGATTTTTAAATGATTTTAGTTAGTTTTACATAAATTTCATGTTCAATAACATCAATTTTGGTTAGACATTTAGAAATCACTAATTTAATAACAAAAACTTTTTAAACAACCACACCAAATCTCCTGAAATTCCTAATCCAATAGTTGATTAAATGCCTGTCTTCTCCTCATCACTTAATTTTTTTTGTGGAAACATAAAGAATCGATGATACCAACACAAGGAAGGCTTCTACTCCAATAAGACCCAATAAGCCTGGTCCCTTGGCATTGGGCTGTCTGCAAATGCACGCTTATAAAATGAGGTGAATCAATTAATTAATACGGTTAGAACACTTTATTAAGAAACTCAGTTAACGTCTCTTTGTTCTTTGTATGTCTTTTAGATATTAAAATTGCCATCATTTACGACTTTACATGTATTATCGATTTCTAATGGCTAACTCTAGATGGGTTTTGTTAACATTTTCAACTCTCTTGCTGATATTTAAAATTTAAAATTTGTGTTTGTTTCTAAAAGAAAAGAAGATGAATGAAGAAAACTCAACAATGGAGATTGATCTAAACAATTGGTTACCAGTAACGGCTTCTCGAGAGGCCAAATGGTGGTACTCTGCGTTTCACAATGTTACCGCCATGGTTGGTGCTGGTGTTCTTGGTTTGCCCTTTGCCATTTCACAACTTGGATGGTAATATTTTTTTAGTTACAAAACCCTCAAATATTCTCTCATAATTATACAATTTTCTTTTGATTATATGCTAAGTACAAGGATAAGTATTTGGCATAAGAGTCTCCTTTCCACATACTGAAACAAGTCATCTAACCGTTAATTTCTCGATTTTGTAGGATTTTTTTTTTTTTACTTATGATATATGCACATTGCCTCTGACATATTGTACTAACAACGGAGATGTTAAAGATTAGTATCATAAATGGTCACTGTAATAACTCGTCTAATCGACTGAATTACCTAGAGTTATACCAGTCTTACATTTTGTTTCATTTTTTATTTTATTAAATGATAATATATACGAAAATGTTAATGTGTTTACTTTGGTTTGAACATGTTCTTGTAGGGTACCAGGAATAGGGGCAATACTGGGATCATGGGTGATAACGTTTTACACATTGTGGCAACTTGTGGAGCTCCACGAGGCCGTGCCCGGAAAACGGTTTGACCGTTATCCGGAGCTTGGGGAACACGCGTTTGGTCCGAAACTAGGTTATTGGTTTGTAATGCCACAGCAAATGTTGGTCCAAGTTGGTACCGATATAGTCTACAATGTCACAGGAGGACAATCGCTTAAAAAAGCGGTCGAGCTCTTGATCCCGAGTTTCGCCATGAGGAATACTCATTACATTTTGATCTTCACCGGAATCCAACTTGCCTTGTCTCAAATCCCTAATTTCAACTCTCTCAAAGGCGTTTCTCTTCTTGCAGCGGTCATGTCTGTTTGCTATTCGATGATAGCGTTTGTTGCTTCGACCGTTAAAGGAACGGAGCAATACCCTTCTAGCTACGAGATTCGATCTCAAGATTCGGTAGATATAGCGTTTGATGCGATGAATGCGTTGGGAACTATAGCGTTTGCGTTTGCAGGACATAGTGTGGTTCTTGAAATCCAAGCGACTATTCCTTCGACACCTGAGGTCCCTTCCAAGAAACCGATGTGGAAAGGAGTCGTCGTGGCTTACGCCATCGTCCTCCTTTGCTACCTAACCGTTGCAATCTCCGGTTTTTGGGCGTTTGGAAATTTAGTTGAAGACAATATTCTTATCTCTCTTGAAAGACCTAATTGGCTAATCGCAGTCGCTAATTTCATGGTGTTTCTTCATGTTGTTGGGAGTTATCAGGTTCATTACTACATTTTTTTACCATTTTGTTGTTGTTAATTTTCAAATAATTAATTAATATAATGTTGTGATTGTTCAACAGGTATTTGCAATGCCTGTATTTGATGGAATAGAGTCGTGTCTGGTGAAGAATCTCAACTTCACTCCTTCCACATGCCTTCGTATTGTGGGACGTAGTTCTTACGTTGGTATGTAATCAACTACGTATTTTTGAAAAGATCATACGATTATTTTATCAAAACGTTGCTTAGTTCTTCATTATTAAGCTGTTATTTATGTAATTTGTATCAATGTTTTGTTTTTTTTTGTAGCGTTGGTGGGATTTATAGCAATATGTATTCCATTTTTCGGAGGTCTACTAGGATTTTTTGGCGGTCTTGTTTTCTCTTCAACGTCTTACTTCGTAAGTCTATCCAAAATCATTTGTTTTGAAATCCGACTGGGACGGCCGGTTCGCCCGGTTAAACTGGGATCTGGTCACTTTTTTGGATCGGTTTTATTTTAAAATCTAAAATTTATTTACCCAACAAAATTAAAAAAATCTGCGAGTAATCTATGACCCGATTGAATCAGCAATTTTATTTTTTTATATAAAAAAATATATTTGATATAAATAATCTTTAATTAAATTATAGGGTTTTGTCACTTTGTGACTTTTGTCGATTGTAATTTGTATCAATATTGAATTTTTTTTTTCAGATGCTTGTGTTATGTTTTGAACAATTAAACTTATGTTTTTTTATATTTAACAATTTGAACAGTTTATGTTATGTTTTTATATTTAAATCTAGTTTTCTTTATTTAAAACTATATATATATATATATATACTATTATTAATTAGTTAATCCGTGGTTGATCTGAATCAATCCAGATAAATCCAGAAATCCAGTGATCCGATAAACATTTCGATTTGTTTTCCAGATCGGGTTTCAGAACATTGCCAAAATATCTCCTCAATATTTTTAATTTCACAATGTAGGCGTTTTTAGTAAATAAAAAGTTGGATTTGATTGGTGACTTCTATATTATATAAAAGTTGATGACATAGTGCATTGAGGACGTCCACATAAGACGAAAAAATTCAATCTGATTGATCTACATCATCGTTTTTCATTAATCATAAACCTGTTAAGTATGATTAAGGTGAGGAAACTCAATATGATTGGTCCACATCAACGTTTTTTATTAAACATAAAAATATTAAATTTGATTAAAATATTATAAAATTAATTTCTATTTTTGTAAAAACACTAATTTCGTTTTATATATAGAAAAATCAAAATAAAAACCTTAAGTAACAAATAGAAAAAAATTACTGTTAAAAAATAAAAAATATTATCTTATAAAAATTAAATAGAAATTTAATGTCAAAAGAGTTAACCTAAAAAAAAACTAATAACGCAAAAGTTAAAACTTATAATATAGATTAAACATTGAGGACGTCCACATAGGACGAATAAATTCAATCTAATTGGTCCATATCATCGTTTTTCATTAATCATAAAGATGTTAAGTGTGATTAAGGTGAAGAAACTCAATATAATTGTTCCACATCAGCGTTTTTTTGTTAAACATAAAAATGTTAAATTTGATTAAAATATTACAAAATTAATTTCTATTTTTTAAACACTAATTTTGTTTTATATATGGAAAAATAAAAATAAAAACCTTAAGTAACAAATAGAAAAGAAACTAATGTTAAAAAAATAAAAATATAGTATCCTTCAACATTCAATGGAAATTTAATGTTAAAAGAGTTAACCTAACAAAAAAAACTAATAACGCAAAAGCTAAAACTTATAAATATAGACTAATAAAATTTCTAACTTCTAAATTAATTGACAAAAAATAAAAAATATTAATTTTGTTTTATAGATGGAAAAATCATAATAAAAAGCTTAAGTAACAAATAGAGAAGAAAATCATGTTAAAAAAAACTAAAATATAGTATCCTTTAAATTTAATGTAAATTTAATGTCAAAAGAGTTAAACTAACAAAACAAAAATCAATATCGTAAAAGAAAATTACTTAATATCTAAAACAAAGAAATTAACTTGAAAATTAATATAAAAATAATTTTAACAAAAAACCATTCGTATAAAAGATGTCTATGCTACATATTTTGAAAATCAATAACAAAAGAGCTTAATAAAATAAAAATAAGTCCTAAGTATATCAAATATATAAAAAATGTATAAGTTAAAATAAAATATAAAATTACTATCTAAAGATGTTAAGTATAAAAAAATCATTAAATAAAATTAATTTGAAATTAGAGAGTGCCTATGGAGACCATGAGAATAATATGCGAATACCGAGAGATGGAGGAAAAAAAATATTGTAGTAGGTGGCTCAAGGTCTATGAAAACAATAAAGAAGTTTCACGTTAAATAAAGTTTACAAGTTTATAATAATAGTTTGTCATTGTGAAGATAATATTAATTACATTATTTTATCCCGGTAGTAAGTTAATTGATAATATACAATGAAAAATTATTTATTCATGCTATGGTTTTATATTTTATCTAGATAAATATTTGTATAAAAACTACATCAGCATTTCATATCAAGTTCAAAGAAATGGATTTGGATGAAATAAAAATAAAAATATAATTTATCATGTTAAAAGAAAAATTATAATTTTTATAAATATTTATGATTATGTTTATGCTTTTTTTTTGACAAAAATGTTGAAGCAACTACTGACTATTTGACATGGTAAGTACACTCTTATGCATATACCTGCCATACTTTAATTCTCTATCGTGAATTTTTTAAATATCAAACCAAACTGTTTTAAGGCTATTACGATATGATGATAAATTAGACATGTTTTTATAAAAAAAAATTTAGCTTTCAATATATTATAAATTTATGTTTCAAATTTTTTTATAAATTTTATAAATGTTATAAAAAACAGAAACATTTATAACATTTTTATAATTTTATAATAAATATTTATGTTTTTTTTAGCTTTCAACATGTTATAATTTACTAACTTGATATTTGGGCTAACATTATTAATAATCAACATAAAATTAGCTAAAAAAATGATGCTATAAGATTTTGAGAAAAGTTTATAAAAAAATTAAATTGAACAGTTAGAACCTGTTAAATGAGCATTATAACTAAAATGAAATGAATATAAAAAATAAATTTAACAAAGAAAATATTTGTATAAAAGAAATTAACTTGATGTTTCTGTTATCTATTTTGTTAGAAACAACAGATGAGCTTAATAAAAATAAATATAAGTCCTAAGTATATCAAACATACAAAAATAAATTACATAAATAAAAAGAAAATATAAAATTACTATCAAAAGATGTAATGTATATAAAAAATTATAACAAAATTAATTTGAAATTAGTTTCAAGAAATTTATAATTTAACAATAAATAAGTATCTAAAGCTGCAATAGGTTTACATAAGTAAAATATACAATGATTAATACACTGGGTGTTTCAGATATTAAAAACTAACAAAGAAGAACACAACATAAATACCCTTACAATCAAAATTTAACAAGTTCTAAAATCTGATTTTTATACATAGTCACTACTTATATCTGAACCAACATTAATAAAATATGAGTAACATGTTCTAAAATTTTATTTAAATAATAAAGTATGAGAGAGTTATGAATCAAACTCAAATTGATATTTGTAAATAAAATATTCAAATCAAAGCATACAGATTGCACACAAAAGATAAAAATAGTAAAAAATAATGCAAAAACTCCACAACGCCGATCCTACAAGTATAAAAACTAAAAGTATCAAATATTAGGCTGCAAAAAAATAGATCTCAATGAAAACCGAATAAAGATATAAGCTAAAACTCATGAATGATCTCATGAAGAAGGAAAAAATGGTTTTGCATGATCATTGCAATTTCTTAACAAAATTAAATACGAATCAACATGAATCATAGATTATAAATGCATATGTACACAACATCACATTCAATAAAAAAAAAACTAAATATTTAAACACATAAACTTGTAAAGAAAAAAAATTGTAGAAATCCTATGAAAACCAAAACAAAATACCAAGATCTTAGCAAAAAAAAAATTCTCTAAATCAAACGTATGTGTATATCAAAGTTAGATAATTTGATAGGTGTTATTGTTATGATTTCACATAATAAAATTTAAAAATTTATTAATAAAAATAGGAGAAAACTACACATTATATTTTAATTTCTCTTATATAAAAGATTTTTTTTTATAAATCTATTATAGTTTTGATAATTTACAAGATAATACCTTAAAAAAATTAAACTAAACTATTAATACAGACTCGCGCGTAGCGCGAATTATAAACTTAGTATAGTATTTAACGGTTAACTACATAATTTTTTTTAAAACAATCTTTTCAAAGAACTTTTATTTATATAAAAAAATATTAACATGGGTTTTATGCATAAGTAATAACTATATCTAAATGGTGAATGTTGTAGTATTGCATTATTTTAAAGTAACAAAATATAACCTTTTTGTTTTAATTTTTTTGCAGTTGCCATGCATTATATGGTTGGTCATGAAGCAACCCGAACATTGGAGCTTTCACTGGATTGCATCTTGGGTACATAAGCCAACTTTTTCTTCCAAAAATATATAGAATAGTATGTTTATTATAAGGTTTATATCTTGATTACAGAACATTAATTTACAGGTCTCGATAATTGTTGGGGTCCATATCGCGATTCTAGCACCAATAGGTGGAATGAGACAGATCTTCCTTCAATTCAAAACCTTCAAGATGTTCTCTTAGATAAATTTGTAACGTTCAATGCATTTTATATGTTAAAAATAGTTATGTCATTTGACTTTTAAAAATATGAACAATATAGGTTTGGGAAATAGTTATTAGTTCAGATCATCAGAATTGGTCGGAGTTTTACGGTTTTTTTATGAATCTTTGAGATATTTGTCGAGTTAAAAATGTCATTTGATTGAATTTATACAAAGAATTAATAGATTGTTTTATTTTTGATATATTGTATTTCGTATAAATTATAAAACTCTGCATCTTATAAAACACTTGTGCCCCCCAAACCTCAAATATCACATTTTCGTGCAACTTATTTTATTTTGCCTATTTAGACTTTTTTTTAGTACAAAAAAGAATGGCAAGTGATTCTATTTCACTAAACCGTCCAAAATCAAATAAACCCAAAAATAAACCCATAATTATATTTTACTTAAACAAAACTCAGATTTTTAAATTCTACTATTCGGAAGGAACCCATCTTTAGCCATTTCAGCAAGCAAATTAAGAACCAAATCCATATTCCCTTCTCTATGATTGATTTCCACAAGCACTTTAGCTTGCTCTGCTTCACTCAACTCACAGCTTCTCAACACATTTTCAATAACGCAATTCAATTCACCAACCATATCTTCCTTGTGCAACGCTTTAACCAGAGCAATAACCGTCACGGTATGCAGAAGAAACCCGGATCTCACCATCTCTTTGTATAGACTATACGCTTTGTAAACATCTCCTCCTCTGCAATGACCATGGATCATAACGTTATACGCAGTACCATCGGGTTTATGGTTTTTCTCAAGCATAGACTCGAAAACTCTATCAGCTTCAATCATCATCCCTTTCATACAGAACCCTTTAATGAGAGATACCACGCTCTTGAACTCGATGTTACTGCAATTCTCTATGAGTGTTTGGTACGTGACATCGCTAGGGACTGTTTCATCGTAGAACAGCTTGAGCAAAAGTCTTTTCGCTTCTCTTGTTCGAGCTTGCTTGTTAAGCCCGTTGATAAGAACGCTATAAGTGACAACATCAGGCAATAACCCTTTCTCTACCATTTCGTTGTGCAAGTTTAGAGCTTTCTCCAACCCTCCTTCTGCACAATGAGCATTGATCAAGGCTGTGTATGTAAACTCATCAGGTGCAAGTCCAAGATTCAGCATTTCGTCGAAAAGATCACAAGCTTCCTTTGTCCTTCTCTGCTCACAAAACCCTTGTATCAGTGATGAGTAGGTGATTGTATCGGGTTGAATACCTTTCTCAACCATCTCCCTCTTGACTCTAAGCGCTTCATCTACATCGTAGCTTCTACAGAAACCAGATAACACCGTGCTGTAGCTCACTACATCTGGAGCCAAACCTTTCTCCTTCATATCATCGAAAACTGTAATCGCATCTTCCATCTTCCCAGCAACACAATGTCCGTTGATCAGAGCGTTATAAGTCACAATCGACGGAGAAAACCCATGATCAGTCATCTCTTTCAAAACCCTGTAAGCTTCATTCATATACCCCTTTTGTGAAAACCCATCAACCAATGTCGTGTAAGTACGCTCGTTCGGGCAAAGCCCTCTCACACGCATCTGATCAAGAAACTCTATAGCCCTGTTCATATTTCCGGCTTTACACATGCTATGTATCAGTGAAGTGTAAGTGATGACACTAGGAGACAACCCATGTCTAAGCATCTCTGCGTGCATGACAAGAGCTTGGTGAAAGTTACCTTCTTTACAATACCCTTTAATAAGTGTGTTGTAAGTGACTTCGTCAAGAGAGAACCCTCTCCTGTTCATCTCCGTGAGTACCAAGCTCGTCTCTTTCATCCTCCCTTCTCTACATAACCCGTTAATGACGACATTGTAAGAGATCAGATTAGGCTCTAAACCCTTTAACGCCATTGATCTCAGAAGCTCAAACCCATCATCGATCTTACGCAGCTTACAATACCCATCGATCAATGTGTTGTAAGTGACAACATTAGGCAAACAACCTTTCTTCTCCATTAGATTGAAAAACTGCAGAGCAACATCTAAATTCCCAGCAGAGCAAAACCCTCTAATCAAGATATTGTAAGTGAAGACATTCGGAGAAACTTGACTTTCCAGCATTTCTTTGAACACATTCTCAGCGAAGCTGATGTTTCTCTTGGATCTAATCGTAGCGTCTAAAACAGCATTGTACGCCAAAACTCCAGGCATAAAGCCATGAGATTGAGCGAGATGGATGATACTCAGAGCCTTATCGATCAAACTCAAGCGGGAGTAAGATTTCACTACCAAATCGAAGACGGAGGAAGTGGAACCGCACAGATCGTAGGTCTCTTGTAGCGATCGGAAGACGAGAGAAGCATCTTCTTCGTCTAGGGTTTTGGTGGCGACATCCTCCGCGAGGGTTTGAGCGGTTTTGTAGAGCTTGAATTTGGTGAGGATGTGGAGAGTGATGCATTTGCAACGGAGGGTGAAGAATTGATGAGGTTTCGCCCAATTCAGGAACTTTAGGATCAATTCCTGATCGTTCTGAGATTTGAGGAGAAGATTAGAGGCTGCGTCTGGAGTGAAATTTGCAGAGAGGTATTGTAGTTGGTAAGGGTGGCGTCTGAGAATGGTTAAAGCTTTGTCGGCGAGAAGGGAATCTGAAGGAGAAGAAGCGAAGGTCGAGAAAGATCGTCGGATTAGGGTTTTAGAGAGAATCATTTAACAAGTTAATGTAGGGTTTAGGAAGGGGAAGGCCTCAAAGAAAATAAGAAATGAAGAAGACGATGAGCAAAATTGATCTCAGCCGTCCGATCCTTCATCTCTGTTGTCAGCCATTTATAATTTATTTTTACAATTTTACTGTTCATTTCTATTTGATTTTGCAATTAAATTTGTGTGTCTTCTTTGGGATTAGATACATTTGAAATTCCTTCATTCGTTAATCTACATCTCATCAGTAAGTTGTACAACTATTCTTTTTTTTTTTTTTATATATATATAAAAAGGGCTTGTACAACTATTCTGTTACGAATTTATCTGAAAGATTAATCAACCTGGTTAATTATTTTGTATTTTTTTTTTGAACATTTTTTTGTATTTTGTTCAGCAAAATATGTAAGTTTGCGTTGCCGTTACAGTTACAATTAATAATACAAAACTTTTTTTTTTGTCCACAATACAAAACTATTAAATCTATAAAATATAGTGTTATCCTCGGTTTCTAAGCAGGTTCGAAAGCTGAAAATGGCTCCAAATCGATTTTTGATTTATTCTAATTTATTTTGTCATGTTTTGTACTTTAATTATGATTTCGTTGTATTGTTGTAATGTAGCTGCAATTTAAGATTAATAATAATAAAGTATGTTTACACAAAAAACATCCTCTAAATCGATTTATAAAGTACTTGGACTAGATTTAAAGTTAAACATCTCATATTATTGATATAAAAATAAATCAGCCAAAAACAAATTGCACTGCATTCATATTCCCTATTCTTCTTACAAAGTCAGCTTTTTCTTTGTAAAAATGTAACAGAAACAAAATATTGAAAAGTAAAAAACAAATATATACATAGATGTGGTAAAGCGTGGGGGGAATAAATAGAGAATTAATGTTGGAACAAGTCAAAAACTTTGTCAGAGACCTGAAACTGTTCTTAACAGAGAGCAACCATGAAAGATGTGTGTGCGTGTGTGGTGTGTGGCTTTTCTTTCTTCTTTTTTCTTCCACTCTCTCTTCTCACAGTACTCTTTTAGTCTTCTTCTTCTTCTTCTTCTTCTCTCTCTCCTCAGGTTTCCATTTTTAGTAATCAAAGATTTTTTATACGGTATACAGAGCCATCACCGAATATCACACCAGCACATACATATATGTCATGTGTATATGGACATGGTTTTGGGGGTAAAACAACTCATACGGATTTCCCAAAGTACCCTTGTGACGTCCGTTGCAGAGTACCATTTAATGGGTTTGGAGAAAACAATGCATTATTGTTATTGAGAGAGGTCTGTGATAAAAGAAAAGATGCATCAAGAGATCAAGAACCAGAAGAGGAAGAAGAAACAGAGCTTCTCCAGGGTTTGTAGTCGAGGCCATTGGAAACCTTCAGAGGATTTCAAGCTTCAAGAGCTTGTGGCAGTTTTTGGTCCCCAGAACTGGAACTACATTGCAGAGAAGATGCAAGGAAGAACAGGTAAAAAAGATGATCATCTTCTTCTTCTTCTTTTGTTGTTTACTCTGTTTTGGGGATTTCGACTTTCTCAGATTTCTGAAAGTTGAAGCCTTTTGTTCTTGTTTTTGAAGGCAAGAGTTGCAGATTGAGATGGTTTAACCAGCTGGATCCAAGGATTAACAAGAAAGCTTTCAGTGATGAGGAAGAAGAGAAGCTACTTGCGGCTCATAGAGAATTCGGTAACAAATGGTCTTTGATCGCTAAGCTTTTCCATGGAAGAACAGACAATGCAGTGAAGAATCACTGGCACGTTCTCATGGCAAGAAAGTTTAGGAAACAATCATCTTCTTACTCAATTTCAAGGAAGAGACACACTCCTTTTCCAGATGAAATAACCCGCCTGAATCTACAACAAAGCTTCAATCTTTTTCCTGGTTTGTGTCTCCTTAAACTCTTTAAGATGTTTCTCTCTTCCGATTAGTTTATCTGATTTAAATTGCATAGGAGGATTTGATTTGAATTGATGCAGAAAAATCTGAGCTTTCATGGTTTTGATTGTGTGGTGTACAGGTAGTGTAGGAGATGAAAGTACAGAGTTCAAGAACTACAGCTGTAAGATGCTAAAAGAGGAAACTACTAACCTCAGAGCTCAATATCTTCAAGAAGAGTATTGTTCTTCACGCATGCCAATGAAGTACTCAGGTCATCATCATCACTTCTCCACCTTCCCTGAAGATTCCTTTGCAGTACTCACACGACATGTCACCATCCCTCAACCATCATCATCATCATCACCACCATCATCATCACTGTCATCATCAGAAGCAGAAAATACAATGGTGGCCAGATATATTGAGATCGCTAAACCCCCAAGGTTTATAGATTTTCTCGGTGTAGGAGCTTCTTGAAGAAAAAACAGAATAAACTCAATCAAAAATTTCTTAATTGTAACCTTGATGATTCTGTGAAGCATTTAACATACCAAGGTTGCATTTGGTACAATCAGTGAAATAAAATCATGAGCTTGTTCTTCTATTTCTCGAATTTTTGGTACACATTTATCGCAAGAATTTTCTGATCTTTCATTCCAAAACTGAATCCTAAGTACAAAGCTAAATCCCAAAAGTTTCAAAACACTTAAACAGCCTGAGCAATACTCTCACTCCGAGTTGTATTTGCCAAAGTTTCTTTAAGCTCATCCATTGTGAGGAGTCTAGTGATCTCTAAATGCTCTCTACAAGAATCATCGATCCCATCCAATTTCACTTCCTTCAACACTAACTGTGTTCTCACCTCCTTTATCAAAAATCTGAGGACTTGATAGAAAGACATACACTGATCTTCATATTCTTGAAGCCTGAGATCACCCTTTCTTAGAGCCTGCGCAATCTTTATGTTCTAAGACACCTACAGAAGTTGGATTAAGAGAAATGAAATATCAATGCTGATGCGAAATTAAGTTTGATGTAGAATTTTTATAAAACAGAAGTTTGGTTGTTACCTCATTAAGGTCATAGTTCTGCAAGAGCTCATCTTTTGGTATGATTCCTTTCGAAAGTACTTCAATGTCATCCTGATCCACATATAACGCTGAAATCAAATTACACATCAATCGAGCAGAGAGAGAAACAAGAAAACTTGACTTGGCAAATGAGCAAGAATACGCAGAGAATTTGTCAGATTTTTGTCTTATCAAAACAGCTACCATAATAGAGAAAAGTTCACTTTCGAAAGCTCTCCACATAAGAGTAACTTGTCAAAATGCATTCTCAGACATCCTCCAAATTAAGGAAGAGTAATAAACTCAAAACATATACAAAAAGCCACAAACTTCTACCAACAAAAACGACCATGCTTCTGTCGCAAAAGAAAACATACTCCTACAGTTTCAAGGTTGCATATTTAACATCATGGGTCTGCATCAACAGAAAACTTCAATCGAATCAGCGAGTTTTTATTCACCTGGAAGAAGTTTGAGTGCGTCGAAAGAGAGAGTTTATTACTACAATTTTATCAGACAGCTTCATGCCCTAATCCAAAACTCATACTCATTAGAACTTCAACATAGACAGAGAGTGTTTACTTCCGTAACAACAAAGACCATTTCAATCCCTGGACTGAAATGAACCTAAAAGGCACAAACTTTAGTCTACCAAAAGGATTATACTTCTATCGCAAAAACACACTCCTACAGTTTCAAAGTTGTTAATTTAACACCATGGGTCTGAGTCAAACAGAGAACTTCAATCGAATCAGAGAAATATTATGCCTCACGTTGAGTGCGTCGGCGAGTGAGAGAATCGATGCATAATTGTAAGAGAAAGAGAGGAGAAGACAATACAAAAGTCTTGGTACGAAACGACGTCGGAAAAGCGGTTTAGGTACTCAGTGATTGATTTGCCGCAGATGAGATTCGCCTGTTCTCGTCTTTCTTATTCCACCGGCAACTACAGAGACTTGAAGCGACGACGTATTAAGGTTCGGTTTATGGTTCTTTCTGATAAAAATGCAGGACCGGTTCGATTACAATTAAAATCGACCTCTTTATTTTAAAATATTACAAACGCAACTTTTTTTTTTTTTTTACAAACGCAACTATACATCAAAACATTTCTTTAAAATATAATGTTATCAAACGCAACTATACATTAGTAAACTTTATGGAATGATAAAATGACAGAAAAACGTGATTTCGCAAGAATTTTGTCAATAAAAAAATTTGAAAAAAAACGCCAAAACACGAATTCTGCGGAATGGCGAAAATACTTACAAAAAATTTGATTAAGTGGAAAAGTGTGTTTCAAGTAGCTTATTTACGGAATCAATATTTTATATCATTCAATTATATAATTAATTATATTTTATTATTTAAATAAATATATTTATACTATATATATTTATATAATGATCAAATTATATTTGTAGATTAAATTTTACAATATATTTATATATTTATATATTTTATAGTAAATAAAAATAAAATAAAAATAAATAATTATAATAAAAGTTTTATTTTTTTCTAATTATATTAAAATATTGTATTTTATGATAATTAATATTTTAATTTTTATTATATCAAATTATATATAAAAATATATTATTATGAAAAATTAATTTTGTATATTTTCTGTTATTCTACCATTCTGCATAATTTAACCAGTCATATCATTAGTAATTATTCCGCTATTCTACATTCCACCATTCCGCAACTTAATTTTTTTCGCAATTCTACGGTTTTATTGTGTTACCAATCGGAGCCTAAAAACATTTTCTTTCAACTTTTCATTTATTTTCACAGTTCTTCGCACAACCCATTTTTTCCATATCTTTTCCTAAATTTTCTCTCATTTTTGTTTTCTTTGAAGAATTGTCTTGATCGACTCTTCGAAGATTTGTAAAAATGGAACATCCGCTTACATTCTTAGATTAGCAAGTGTTTCGTAGATCATAAATTCGTTTGAGGATTTCTGACTTTCGTGTAATCTATGAATTGAACTGTATTTTGGAGGATGAAAAGAGCGACTAGATCATAGACAAAAACTACGAGTTCAACTCTCAAGACAGAGACTAAAACATAAATATGTACTCACGGGTTAGAAAAGTCTTCAGACAAAGACAACGGTCTGGTATTTGACTAGCTGGAGTGGGAGAAAAAAAACAACCAACGACTCTTGACAAAGATTATGGACCAAAAACAGAATCATACTGATGAAGACATCCAAGAAGAACCTGACTTAACCGAACCACAAGTGCTTGAAGTTTCCACCGGAGCCATTACAAGGGAAAGAGCAAGGGTCTTGCAGCACAAGTATAATCAAGCCATCATGTTAGCTGCACGTCAAACCGATGATCAAGAACCTCATGACATGGATCAAGCTGCCAAAGGCCCATCCGGAGTTAAGGAAATCCAAGAAGCTTGGCCCCTTTTCTCTAAACACAACAACGGCTACAATCTCCTTGTCATCTCAAGCAAGGCCCAAGACCCATAAAGCCACGATCAAAGGGGATTAAAGAGATGAATCATTGAAACTTAAACCATACAAACAAACAAGGTAAGTGTTTATGAATATTTTCATTACATTTTGACTAATGATTCTCAATCTCTTTTGCAGCCTAGATTTAGTTGTTATTTCTATTACATTTATGTTGATTTTCGTTTAAAATAAGTAAGGCAAATGTTAGGCTGATTTCTTGCTTTTATTTTAATGTAATTTGTTTCCAAAGACCCCAAGAAGGGCATAGCTGTTTGGACTAGTTTATAAAGTCCCCTCTCACAGCAGTGTATCTTTAACTTTGATCAATAAAATACCGAATTTTCTTAAGAACTTTTCTTGAGTTTGCTCTTTATTTTGTGAGACCAGTACCTCCAAATATTAAGAGTTATCGTGTTGTATCAAGGGAATTGCCATAACCCTTGTGGTACACTTCATTTCACCCCCGGTTCTAGTTTATTCGTCCTCTTCGCCCACCGGCCCTACGGTTTTGAGTATCTCGACCATTAGGCCAATCATCATCCGACCTACACGTACCGCGTGATCATCACTCCTCAATCACATCCCACGGATCATAAGCCTGAGTATCTCGGCTAGTGACAACCTCATCCATCCCACACTCGTACCGAAGGCCTACTAGCTCACTTCCACGCTCGAGCTTGTATCATTTTTGGTATCAGAGCTGAAGTTCCTTCAGCCCCAGGTTGCATCTATCCTTTTTATCTCTTTCATTACATTTCATATTAGTGTTTTCATTTCATTTTGTTAAAAAAAAAAAAAAAAAAAAACATACATCACATTCTATCCTTGTTTCATCTCATAGCCATATTGCTTTCATCATCTAGTTTGCATTTCGATAAAAAAAAAAATATATATATATATATCAATCCTCATTCTTAGTTTATCATTGCTAGCTCATTATCATTCATCATTTAATCGAATTCTATCAAGTTTCAATCAAAAAGTCAAAAAAAAAAATTATTGGTTTAAGTCATTCATTTGCATTCATCACGGTTTCCATTTTTAGAACATTGTCAACAATCACCATTTGTCTAATTGATTCGGGTATTGCCTTACCTTAATATCATCTTGGACCGTATTGTATTCATTCAAAGGTCTTAATCACATTTATTCTTTGGTTTAAGGGACTTGAAATCAAAACGACATGGGAGAAGAAGCTAGCAATGCAAATGATCCGGTCAGTCAAATGATGGCCATGATGAGGGAAGAGTTTCAAGCCTTTAGGCAAGAAGTGGGAGAACGTCTCACTCGTGTAGAACAGACCCCTCGCGCTCCCTTGCGGCCTGTGAGAAACGTTGGAGGATTTGGCACTACCAACCCCCATGGCAATCCTCAACGACATAACGGCATTCACATCAACGAGCCCACGAATGGAGGACAGCTACGTGACGATGACTCTCAAGAGGATGACGAGGATCCACCCCCAAGAACAAACCGTGTACGGAGGAGACGAGTACAAAGGGAGGAGCATGAAGAAGACAAGCCATACGACCCTCACCCGAGACAAAACCAAGGGAACATCAAACTAACCGCGCCTAACTTTGCCGGTAAAGTTGATCCCGAGGCTTATCTCGAATGGGAGAAGAGAATGGACCATATATTTGACTACTACAATCATCCCGGCCCTAAGAGGATAGCACTAGCCGTAGCTCAGCTCACGGACAACGCCCTCATTTGGTGGGACAGAATAGTAGCCGACAGAAGAAGAAACCGCCAACGGTCCATTGACTCATGGGTGGACATGAAAGACCTTATGCGTCAAAGGTATATCCCTCCTCATTTCCATAGAGACTTACAACGCAAGTTTCGTTCTCTTAAGCAGGGAACTAGGTCAGTGGAAGAATATTATGAGGAATTTGAACGCTTGAGGAACCGTTTGGAGCTGCATGACGATGAGGAAGCATTGATGGCTCAGTTTCTAGATGGTTTACAAGAAAGGATCAGCCGTAAGGTAGAAAGACAAGTATACCGGGACATCAAAGATCTTTTTCATCTCTCTATCCAAGCCGAGCAGCATATTAAACGTAAGACCAGCAGCACCAGAATCAAACCTCAAAATCCTTGGAACCCCACTATTAACAAACCGATGGATAAGGGCAAGGGCATTGAGATAGATTCATGTTACAAAGGGAAAGTTCTAGACAATGTCAAAGACAACCGAACAGAGCCAAGTAAGTCTTTAAATCCTCAACGTTCTAGAGACATAACGTGTTTTAAGTGCAGAGGTAGAGGACATATGGCGAGAGAATGCCCCAACCAAAGAGTTATGCTACTAACCGAAACCGGCGATTATGAATCTCATGACGAGGCTGACATAGAGCAGAATGACGAGTTCGGTGATATTGAATACCCTGACTCTGGAGAACTTCTAGTCATGAGGCGCGTATTGAGCACCATGGTGGAACCAACCGAGATCATACAAAGAGAAAATATATTCCATACCCGTTGCACCATTAAAGGCAAGGTATGTAATCTTATTATTGATGGTGGGTCTTGCACCAATGTAGCAAGTGCTCACATGGTTGAAAAGCTTGGCCTTGAGAGAACTAAACACCCACAGCCCTATAGGCTAAGGTGGCTCGATGATAAGGTAGAGCTTAAAGTTAGTGATCAAGTCGTTATACCATTCAGTGTTGGTAAATATAATGATCAAGTAACTTGTGATGTGGTTCCTATGCAAGCTGGTCATTTGTTGCTAGGTAGACCTTGGCAGTTTGATAAAGAAACTAAACATGATGGTAGGACTAATATGTATACTTTCATGCATGATAAAAGAAAAGTCAGTTTAGCACCTCTCACGCCCTCTCAAGTTCATGATTTGCAAATGAAAATGACTAAGGAGAAAGATATTGTTGCTAAACCAAACTTTCTTGTTCAATCTAGTCACGTTAGAAAGGCTTATGCATCAAAACACACTTTGCTACTTATGATCTTTAAGGAAGTTTTGAGCGCAGGATACAGCTTAGAAGAGCTACCAATGGAAGTCACTAGCGTATTAGACAAGTTTAAAGACGTCTTTCCCGAGGAGATGCCAGAAGGATTACCCCCTTTGAGAGGCATTGAGCACCAAATAGACTTCATACCAGGAGCAGCGTTACCCAACAAACCCGCCTATAGGATGAGTCCTGAAGAATCAAAGGAGTTGGAGAAACAAGTCAAGGAGTTACTAGACAAAGGCTATGTAAGGGAGAGCCTTAGCCCGTGTGCTGTACCGGTCTTATTGGTTCCTAAGAAGGATGGCTCTTGGCGTATGTGTGTGGATTGCCGAACGATAAACAATATCACCATCAAATACCGCCATCCCATACCAAGGTTAGATGATATGCTTGATGAATTAAGTGGAGCTAACTTGTTTTCTAAGATTGATTTGAAGAGCGGATATCATCAAGTAAGAATGAAAGAAGGCGACGAATGGAAGACAGCCTTTAAAACTAAACAGGGGCTTTATGAATGGATGGTCATGCCTTTTGGCTTAACCAATGCTCCTAGCACCTTCATGTGACTAATGAACCAGGTTCTTCGAGCTTACATAAGTAAATTTGTTGTTGTCTATTTTGATGACATCTTGATATATAGCAAGAGTTTAGATGATCATGTTTCACATCTTGAGC